CTAGACATGCCGATTTGAAGGGCCTGCTACATTTGGACATTTTTTACACATATGGATAATTTATCGACAAATTCCACACCGTCTCTTTTCTTTCTCAAGATCATCCATTTTGGTTCTAATTCTTGTACTATTTGAATGTTCTTTCTTGTTCCTTCACATTGTCTCGTCATGGCAAAGAGTAAATCCTTCGTATGTTGGTCAATTTTCTTGATGTGAAACTCCAAGGAAGCTTTCCTTGTAGACTTTGAAAACACTCAGAATCTTGAAAACATCTGGTATGTAGATATTGTGGTTCTGCCGTATGCTAGCACATGTTGCGATTACATGGAGCACGATAAATGAAATGCCTGAAACTTCCCACAATCGCACCATTCTCTCTTGAGATTAACGCTAAAAGTACCTAATGGTCGACCATCGTTTTGATTAATCCTTTCGGCAACCATAAAATAGAATCTCTCGCAATCAAATTGGATGACATTATGTCTGCTAGATTTACTCATTTCTTCATCCATTACCTTATTGAAGTTATTAGTGAAAGGTTGACTAGAAGCCAACCTTTTTTTTTCCAATCATGACCTCGTTTGCTAAATAACGATCCTAGACGATAGTATATAGATTTGACCATTGCAGTAATAGGAAGGTTACAGGTAGCTTTAAGTACTGAGTTCATTGCTTCAGCCAACTTTGTTGTCATGTGTCCCCACCATTGTCCTTCGTCAAACACCCTCGCCCACTTCTCTCGGGGAATATTGTCTATCCACTTCAAAGCTGCTCTATTTGTTCTTCGTATTTCGCCCCGGTAGTAGTTAAATGCTGCCTCCGCCAACGCATATCCTATAGTAAAAATGTTAGGTAAAACATTTGAAAATTAATAACTTAATAAATATTTATTATAACTATAAACATGTGAAAATGGAGTCTTACCCATGTTGACAAGTGTTTTCCGTAGTTCTTTGTCTCTGAACTCACGCATGAATTTTTGCATAATGTGTCTAATGCAATAAACATGTGAAGAGGGATGATTTTGCCATCCATTTTCAGAATCATCATAAGCACTCTTTATTAATGGATGTCGATCGGATATGAGATACAGGTTGGCTTGGGGGTCACATTCATTCTCAAATTGTTGAGAAATAAACTCTAACCATCCTTTGTCTCACTTTCAACTAATGTGAATGCTATCAGGAAAATGTTATTGTTTCCATCTTGTGCCACAACCATCAACAAAGTTCCTTTGTACTTTTCGTACAACCATGTTCCGTCAACTTGCACAATAAGTTTGTAATAAGTAAAACCACGAATACATGGTTGAAACGCCCAAAAAAGACGGTGAAATTTCCTATTGTCACCCAATTGGCTTCCATCGTCTATAATTACTGTCAGTGTTTCCGACTGTATAACAGTTCCAGGAAGATAGGTTCTCATCACCAACAACCACAGTGGTATGTCATTGTAAGACGTCTCCCAATTCCTATAAAGTGATTCTATTGCCTTAATCTTTGCAATCCAAGCTTTCCTGTATGACATCCTATAACCGTATTTTTCGGCAATATGGGCTTGTATGACTTTAACTTTTAGTGAGGCGTCGCTATAAACTGAAACGACCAATACTCGGGGAGATCATTGGTGCAATTTAAATAAAGAAGAGAACAACGAGTGGAGAAACATAAGAAATTTGACCTTGAGAGGTAACATGGTTAATGGTAACTATGTGCACAGCGCTGCATATATGCAATGGTTTTTATCCATTCCATTTATACATGCTTCTTAAGCACAGTTCCTAGACGACCCCCGTCAGTATGCATCTTCTTCATCACAGCGAAAAGCCTTGCCGTCCATGCATCAAGAAATCTCCCAAATGAACCCTTCACAATTTCAATCCCAAACATATTCATTCCTTTAAAACACGTACCATCACCCCTAATCCACACAACCACAATCAACATACCAACACACATAAACTACACAACAACACACATTCTTTGCCACCTCCTTTCAACAACCTACACCATACACTCCAATCCCTCAAGCTAACTTCTACTACCACTAAGAATACCAGCAACAAACGACATTTCGACCACCCAATCAATTCACTCCAATTCCTCGGCCTAACTTTGGTTTCTCTTACCCCAATCACAACAACAAACATTTAACCCTTCACTCTCTCAACCCACTTCTACCTACCACACTGACGATCTTTATTACCCCCATACAACAATCCCCTCCAACCACCTTCAACCAACCATCCCAGTCAGTCCCTAACTTTACCCTAAGTGATGATCAACTCATGGAATTACCAGGTTTTTCTGTTATTGATGTGGATATGGTCGATACATCACATCAACGTGAAGATGTATTTGAAGATGACAGTGTAACTGAAGATGAAGAGTAGTCTTTTGACTCTACTCCATCTCCTCCAAGACGGCAAACCGAAGACTTGGGGAGGGGGTTGCGCGTAAAATAAGTAAAATGTGTGGAACTGGTGGTCATTTACGTAGACAAAAATGATGTATCTTTTCCACTCATATTATTAATAAAATTGTTTATTATTATATTTTATTTAATACAAAAATTATATTAATTAATTAATTAAATGTTATATAAAATTTTAGAAACTTAATTACATAAAATTGCAAAAAATATTTTCTTAATATTTTAATTATAATATTTAAAATATTTAATTATAATATAAAATTAATTAAAATATTTATTTATTAATATTTTAAAACATAAAAATCATTCTTAATTTTTAAAAATTAATTAAATATAATAAAACATATATAAATATATTTTGAAACATAATTTAAAAAAGAAAAGTGGTTGGCCGAGCTTAAGTATGCACAAATTTTTTAAGATCGTTCAATCAATGGCCGAACCCAAAGAGAAACGGTGACGTTTTGGTAATTTTTTTCAGATTATGACATTTTAGTGTTTTTAATTTTAAAATTTGACAGGTGGATAAAAAATCATTATTTTCAATTATAACAACTACTAAATGATATTGTTTTCAATATTTTACATGAGTGGATATATTTTTAGTAAAAAGAATGAGATAATATTAAAAGAATATTACTTAATATTTTTTACTAAAGTGATAAATAATATGCAACACATAAAAATAGTCAAATGTGAACTTTAATATAAAAAATAATTTTATTTAAAGAATATATATATATATATATATATATATATATATATATATATATATATATATATATATATATATATATATATATATATATATATATATATATACTTAAAATAAAAAATGATTAATAAGAAACTAATAATTTAAAATAATTTAACGGTCTCTCTAGTCAACATGTAAAATTAAAATTATACTATTAAATAAAATATAGTCAATTAAAATTTATATAAAATCTTGACTACCAAATTTTAAACGATTGTTTTTACTTAAAATTAAAATTAATTAAGAATTAAATAATTTACAATATTAGTTTATTAGTCTATGTAGTCAACATAAAATTAAAAGTTACACCATTAAATTAAGTACAATCAAGATACAATCAAGATTCATTGACTTAAAATTCTTACTTTTACTTAAAATTGGAATAGTCTATTAAAATATGCTCCAATTTTCATTAAAAATTTTATGTTAAAATTGAAATACTTAAAGTTTATTAAAATTCTTTCTTTTACTTAAAATTGGAATACTATTTTAAATTTTTCATGTAAAAAATAAAATTCTAAAATTTAAATATTCTCCAAATTTGAAAACTACTATTCTATTATATTAAAATATGGACTCACTTTATTCATTTGTATAGTTATTTCTTTGGTCAAGTCATTAGTATATAAATTTTATTCACAGTCAAATATTATCATTTTCATAAACATAATAATTATATATATATATATATATATATATATATATATATATATATATATATATATATATATATATATATATATATATATATATATATATATATATATATATATATATATATATATATATATATATATATATATATATATATATATATATAGTCAGAAGTTAGAGGGAAGTGAACGTGCAATATTTGAAACACAGATCTGGATCCATTCAAACTAGACACACAAACACACATAAACACTTTCACTTGTTGTTGCTGCTCCTAAAACCACTATTTCATCATTCATTGGTTTTTTTTCATTGTTTCAAAACACACACACAAAAAAAACTATTCAAGGGTTAGGATCTAGTACTACTACTATATAGAAACAGAAATTGTCTTTGTGTTTTGTGTTTTGTGTTTATGTGTCTAGTGAGAGAAAAATTAGGGTAGAGAGAGAAATTGAAAGAGAGAGAAAGAGAGAAAAGGCTTTTGAATAGGACAAACTTTCAACTTCACTACTACTTACTACATACACTACTACACACTCTCTCCTCACAACATAACTCCATAAAACACAAACCATAGCAAGAGAGTAGAGCATAATCAACTGTGGTTTTGGTTTTGTTTTTTGTTTTGGTTTTGTTTAAAGGTTGACCCTTTTGTTATATGTGTGAAATATGAAGATAGTTTCAGAACTCAGAAGAAAGTAACCAAGAGAAAGATTTATGCTTTCATAGGTAAGACTGTGATTTCTGCACAGAACTGGGTTTCAATTTTGATTTGGAAAAAAGGGTTTGTTTTTAATCATTATAAAACTATATAAAAATTATATTTTTATTCCTCTTTCTCTCTCTACTCTTTTGCTACTTTTGAACTTATTTCAAAACCCAGTTTTTTGTATGTATTTTTTGTTTGATTTACTACACGAGAATACTCTTTTTAAGCACTTTACTTTTCTTGTTTTTTTCTCCTTTAACTTGCTTTTTTGCCTAATCTTTGCAGGAACATGAGAAAGAAACACTTTGGTTTTGGTTTTGGTTGGTAGGTAGGGTTTTTGTGTGTGGTTAAGGAAAAAAACACAATCTTTTCTTATAGTTACAAATAGAGAGATATACTTGAAAAAAATTAAATTTTTAGTAGTTTTTGTTTTTGGAAGTGATTATGGATGGTTATGAAGCTACTAGGATTGTTTTTCAGAGGATCCAAACCATGGACCCTGAAAACGCTTCAAAAATAATGGGTTTACTTCTTCTTCAAGACCATGGTGAGAAAGAGATGATTAGATTAGCTTTTGGTCCAGAATCACTTCTTCATTCAGTGATTTTCAAAGCTAGAAATGAGTTAGGATTAGCTTTGAACTCTCCTTCAGCAACACCTCAATCACCTTCACCTTTTTCCTCAAGCAATCCTGTTCCAATTTCAAGACAAAACTCAAACTCATCTAGAGTCTTAAACAGTGGCATGACTCTTCCTTTGAATCTCAGTATACCAAATCCAAATTCATCTTGGGCTGATGATTCTAGTTCCATGAACACTTCTTCGCATTTTTACGGTAATGGAGGGGTTTCTGACTCTATTGATGAGTTTCAGCTTCAAGACCAGCTCTCTTTTCTTAACGATGGAACATCGTCGCCTTCGCTGAAGAATTCGGATTTGTTTTACTCTCAGTCAGAGCTATCTTCTAGTCCTGGTGGTGGTGGAAGTGTTGGTAATGGTAACGGTAATGGTGTTGACCCTTCGTTTTTTCCGTATGGTTATGGCGGTTCGGTTCATCGAAGAAGCTGTTCGGTGAATGATGCTTGTTTGGTTTCTGAGGATCCGAATTCTGGCTTAGGTTGGAAACCATGTCTTTACTATGCTAGAGGGTACTGTAAGAATGGAACTAGCTGTAGGTTTCTTCACGGCGGTTTCGGAGATGGCGGTGAAGGTGCTGTTGGTTCTCCTAATAAGATTGAGATGATGGATCAGTGTCATGAGCAGCTTCTTAGATCTAAATCTCTTCAGCAACAACGACTTGCTGCCATGGCTACTTCGTCTTTTCCTTACTCACCTAAGAGCTTGAGTTTGCTTCTTCAGCAGCAACAAAGTGATACTCATAGGTATAATAAACTTTTAACTTAAAATCATAAGTCTTGTTTTTATTTGAAATTTCGGTTGCGTTGTGATTTTGTTAAACACTTGAATACTAATTATGAATGATATTGCAGAGCTGCTGCTGCAGCACTTATGATGAATGAAGATTTGCAGAAATTTGGAAGGTCGAGGTTAGAGAGAAATGATTTTTCTTTGAACAATATCGGAATGATGAATCCGGCTTCTAGGCAGATATACTTGACTTTTCCGGCTGATAGTACTTTTAGAGAGGAAGATGTTTCAAACTACTTCAGGTTCTTTTTTTGTAATCTCTTATCATAATGACTTAACTTATTTGCGCATGTTTAGATTGAAAACGAGTTGGTTGAAGTTCAAAACTTGCACTCGGTTTTGCGGTTCTGGGTAGTTAATTTGTTTTTCTTTACTATTGTTGCAGTATTTATGGACCGGTTCAAGATGTGAGGATTCCGTATCAGCAAAAAAGGATGTTTGGATTTGTTACGTTTGTTTATCCTGAGACAGTGAAGCTTATTTTAGCTAAGGGAAATCCGCATTTTGTTTGTGATGCTCGGGTGCTTGTTAAGCCTTACAAGGAGAAAGGCAAAGTCCCCGAAAAGTAACACCTCCTTTTCCTTTTTTTACACTATCAATCAATTTTAAATGTACGCGATGAAACTGTGCTGAGATTTTCGCGTAATTTGCAGAAAGCAGCTACAAATGGATAGAGGAGACTTTTCTCCTTGTGGTACACCTACTGGACTAAACGGCGGAGATCCGTTCGATCTTCAAGCTGGTAAGTTGATAACTACGAAGCACAATCACTAATCACGATGACACAGACACACTGACACCAGTGATAATTTTAAAATATGAAATTATTGAATGTAAACCGCGTGTGAGTACATGTCAGACACCAAACATACTTTCAATCGGACACAGAACACCATACACATCTGTAATCTGAAATGTCCTTGTTTTAGTTATGTTACCTGCAATCCTTTAACGTGTCCGGTGTCTTTAAATTTCATAGGAGGGAGAATGTACTACAATACTCAGGACATTCTCTGGAGGAGGAAGTTAGAAGAGCAAGCTGAACTTCAACAAGCTCTCGAGCTTCAAAGTAGACGACTCATGAGTCTTCAACTTCTCGACATCAAAAAGCAACACCACCGCGCACTTTCCTCCGGAAGTCCAATTCCTTCACCAACTCAATCTCCTAACATGTTCAATCAAAACTTCCCATTTTCATCTCTCCACAGCAGCTCAGAAAGCCAAGAGGGTATAACACAAACAACTTTTCCCACCCTTTTACTTTTTCCGTCAATTCTATTATAAATTTGTTTTTCATTTTATGTTGTTTGATATCAGAGAACGGTTCGGGTTCAGGCTCAGGCTCTGTTAGCACTGCATCAATTCCGGTTGATCAGCAAGCAAACATTGTCAACGGAGGAGAAGGGGAGAATGGAAATAGCGACACAAGTGGCAAACAAACCTCAACTCATGAAGATAGTGATTTACAAGAATGGTATAAAACTTTTTTTCTCTCTCATTTAGAATAATACCCAAAAAAAGGTACAATAATAGCAAGTAGTTGCATTGCACCTTTATTTATTTTTTTGCATCAAATTCCTCTTTTAGTCCATGCTAAAAGTCTCATGCATTTATTCCTCACTTCCAAAACCAAACATTGAAATCTCTGACATTGATTGCTGTCTTTTAAAGATTATGTATCTAAATTTATGTCACATAAATAAATGCAGCTTGGAGCATAATCTCCCTGATAGCCCTTTTGCTTCCCCTACTAAAGCTATTGGTGACTACATGGCTGCCTTCAACAATGGACCTAATGAGGCCATTGATTCAGATGCCTCAGCTTCATCTGCCAACTCCAAATTTAGTACTAACACAGTTCTTCCACCGTCGTCTCCTCTCGACATCGGGCCTTTCACATCCTATAACTGCCAAATACCTAGGTACCGACATCATTACATTTAGACCAACATTCTAAAAATCAAACCAAACATTTAAACCATAGTTCGAGCCATTCAAAATAGTTGAACTGGCTCGGACATCAAGATGGTTTGATGTCTGGTTTGATTTTCAAACACTGGTTTCGGACTATTGACATACTTAAACCGATGATATTGTTTTCACAACTTAGGTTCACCTCTGGCCATGGAACCATCGGAATGATCGCCGGAACCGGTGGACCAATTGGCATTTAGTATTTAGTTTTCTCGGGTCCAGGTAATTCCCTCTAGTCATTATTATAAGCAAATATTCCGCTGATCTATATATAAACAAGATACATCAGTAATTCACATCAAGATACATCGGTTATTCAATGAATTGCTATCGAAACTCAATGTTTTTTGGTTGAATATTTTGACAGGAGAAAAATGAAAACAAAAAAAAATCTTGTAGAGAATCAATCAGCACCGTTGAAGGCATCAAAGCATCAATAGCATCAATGATGAATACTATACTCTAATTACTTCCATACAAAATGCATACATCAAAAGCAGTTCAGTAAAGGAAGTGGGACATGCATTCACTTTCTTTTCTCCTTATATCATAATTATCATCATTATTATTATTGTACTATTTTCACTTCTCATTTTCTCTAGTATTTTGAACTGAACCACATGTTAAAAAAAAACAATAGTAGCAAAAAAAAAAAAAAAATCAAGAGAGTGAATAGTAGTAGTAGTAGCAGTAGTATAGTAGTACTAGTAACAACACCTTGGTTTTTAGTTTTATATTAGAAGGGTAATGAAGTCTTCTTATAGCTGAAGCTGATTATAGAGAAAGAGAATTATTGTATAACTACTACTTCAGAAGTGATTAAGGAGAAGTGAAAAAGTTAATTATGATTATGATTATGATTATTATTATTATAATTAGGCTTAGCTGTGTTGAGTTTGAAAAAGAATAGTAGTAGTAGTTTATGTTCTTGCATTGATGGGTTGTACTTGTATAATTAGTTGTAACACATTTATCAACCCTAGGCCACCACAAGACACAAAAGTGAAAGATTTTTAGAAAAAGTTAAAGCAGAAAGCAAAAGTGATTATGACTATTTGGTCTCTTTCCCTTCATCCCTCACCCTCTTTTGTTTTTTCCATCTCTCTCTCTCTCTCTCTTATTTTCTTATGCTTTACTTTACAAATGAAGTTTCTTCATAATTTTCTTCATTATTTGGAAAATTCTATACTCTAAGAATCCTAGCATAATTTTAATCCTATCTTAATTTCAATCATAAAGACTAAAAATTCATACATAAAACTAGAACAGAACTGTGAGTATTAGGGTTCAAATTCTGGTAATAAAGTTCAAACCTAGTCACCAGAGTTCAAATTTTGGTAATAACGTTCAAACCTAGTCAGCAGAGTTTGAATTTTGGTATTAGAGTTTGAATTTTGGTAATATCTATAATAACCTAAGTCACCAGAGTTTGAATTCTGGGATTAGAGTTTGAATTATGGTAATAACGTGAACGTAGTTGTCACCAGAGAACTAGAGTTTGAATTCTGATAATAACGTTCAAACCTAGTCACAAGAGTTGAGATTTGCGGATGAATTATTATTAATTTTTAATTGACTAATATTTAAATATGCACTATTGAAGTAATTATTATAAAATTTTTCAAAAAAAATATTATATTGAAAAGAATAAGAAAACATGATGATGGTTAATTTTATTTTAATTGAAATGAATATAAAAGGAGAATTTGTGATAGTTCACCATGCAATAATTTTAAACTTTTGAATATAAAAATTGGTGGGAGGTGGGGTTGGGGCAATAATGTCATTTAAATGACACCATTATTAGAGAGAGAAACAAGAGAGAGAGAAGAGGGGTCCACCCAATGCGCACACACATCTTCACATGGGTAATGCTGACACTGCAAGTGGGCCTTATGGTAATTTAAATAACGCCAGGTTGTGTGTAGGGTCCACCCATGTGAGTGAGTGATGCCCACTTTCTCTCTCTAAAAAAACTCTTTCCCTAGCCTTTACTTTCTCTCTCTCTGACATGAAAGGACATGCAAAAATCTATATAAAAGTAGATTTAGATGCCCACACGTATGACAAAAGTTCACAGATTTTCGAATATTTTGGGCTTTGTAACTGTGCCCTTGTGAATATTGTGTCACATATAAAATACACACTCTCGTGAATTACTGTGCTGTTATTTTTTTATTTATTTTTTTTACCTTTTTCCAAAGCTAGTTTTAACTGCTATGTTATTGGAAAAATATTTGTATTAACTATTAAGCTTGAAAGTTGAAATTGTTTTTGATAAAGAAAATGACTCCTCGTGGATAAGCACAAGACGTTATGGTTATGAGTTTTAATTTCATGTGATTGGGAATTAGTGAGTCAAAGAATCTAGATCTAGATTAAAAATGTAATCCACGTCAATCGAAGTCATGATTTAAGTATCATACATTATTAAAAAAAAAATAGTTTTTTATTAAATCCAAATTAACTTATATTATTACCAAAGAAATACATAATATACACTTAGGAGGATATATGCTCTTGCTAAAACATGAGCATTATTATTAAATTGGTGCCTAGTATAAACAATTTTGAAGTTGTTGTGTTTCTTTGAATGTCTTTACAATTATAAGTAGTCATATTAAAATCTATAAGTTATATAAAGAATATCATCAACGACTATTTTACAATTTAGTTCGAAAATGACATTTGTAAGACTAGTTGTTAGAAACCATTCTAGTGTATTATACAAATTCTAAACTTTACACTCTATTGTTTGAAGATTCACGTGACACTAATCTATTCTAGGCATAACAAAACGATTATTACATTTCAATATTAGAGCAAGTTCGTTGTTGAAATGTGACGCCATCTACATTACATTTGAAAGAATCAGAGAGGAAATGTTTCTAATGAATACTTGATGGAGGATTTAACCTAGTTTAAGTAATTTGATTCTTTTGAGTATGTTTCCATGAGCTAAACATATTTGTTGCTCGAGTAATCCATATTCAAAAAAACATATTTGTCATCCAAAGCCTTAAATTCCACTTTTCCCAAATACTCCATGTTATCATAAAAAACATGAATGTTTGATCATCGTTAAAATGACTTTAAACATGCAAAAAAAAAAGCATCATAAAATCCATCGACTAAGACATTAGGTTATGTAAGGGCAACCAAAGAGAAGCTTCCCGTCGACATTATACAATATTATGGCAAACAAGAAAAAAATGCTAAGACTCTTAATACCTCGACCATAACAAACACAAGATAGGGGACAATCTATACTTTTTTTTCTCTAGAGATTCTCTCATTGTGGGAGACAATTTCTTTCCAGTCTCCACATTTTTTTTTTAGTGGGATAGATAGATTCCACAAATGTTTCAGTTATCTGAGACTTTTAAATAATCTCTATTGATTAAATGCTTTGCACACACACCATATACCCACTTTTAGAAGATAGGGATAAAAGAGTATTTGATGCCAAGAAAAGGATTGAAATAAGGGTCCCATGAATTTTGTTTCTTACAATGTGCGTGGGAGTGGATCTTCGATTAAGGGAAGAAGATTGCGTCAAATCCTTGCTAAAGAAAATATGGTGTTTTCTTCTAGAAACGAAAGTCCAAACTATGTCTGATGAGGTTGCACATAACTTATAGGGGAACGAGGAAATGGATTGGCCAGCATCGGGCGCTATAGGTCAATCCGGAGGATTACTTTCAGTATGGAGGAAAGATAATTTTAACTCTTACTTTAGTTTTAAAGGATCTGAATATCTAGGGATATCTGGCAATTGGAAGGGGGTTGAATTACTATTTCATAAATGTGTATTTGCCTTGCTTATTATCTGGAAAGTGGAAGCTTTGGCTGAAGTTGATTGAGGTTAAACGTAAATTTCCACAAGGAGAATGACTGGTTGCAGGAGATTTTAATACCATCAAAGCTAAAGAAGAAAGGAATGGAGTGGTAAAATATAATCTTATTGAAATGAAAGATTTTCTTAGGTTTATTGAAGCTATGAAGCTTATTGATGTGCCAATGGTTGGGAATAAATTCATGTGGTTTAAGACTAACGAAAGCTGTAAGAGTAGGTTAGACAAAATTCTATTGTCTGATGACCTAATTTCAAATTGGGGTGTTGTAGCGCAACAAGTGGGTGACAGAGATATATCAGACCATAGACCAATTTAGTTGAAGCTAAATTTGGAAAATTAGGGTTCCAAACCCTTTAAGGTATTCAATAGTTGGTATGAACATCCCAAATTCATGTAATTTGTTAGAGAGTCTTGAAATTCTGTTCAAGTTAAAGGTAGTCATACTCATATTTTGGTGGCGAAGTTTAAAACTTTAATAGAGAAGCTCAGGTGGTGGAATAAGAACGCCTATGGTTGGATGAACTTGAGTATTGAGAAAAAGGTTAAAATTCTTAATGAAATTGAGGGGGAAATGGGCTTTAGGGATGATTGTGTATCAGAGGAGGGCCTCAGGGTGAGAAGAATTGTGCAAGGGGAGATTTGGAAAAAGTTGATTCTTAAAGAAAGCATGATAAAGCAAAAGACGTGGGTTAAATGGGTCAAAGAGGGAAATCTAAATACCAGGTACTTTCATTCCATGCTTAAACAAGATTGAGAAGAAATAACATATCCTGCATTAAATCTGGTAACGATTTGGTGGATGATGTGAGGGTGGTTAATGTAACACCCCGAATTTAATTGGAATATTTTAATTAATTTATTTAATTGAGAATATTCATGTTTAGGTGATTTTAGGTGGTTTTGTGGATTATTGGGAATTATGAATTTGTGGATTATTTATTTAATTAATAGTATACAATATGGCAATATTAGTATTATTATTAGTTAAAATGAATATAAGTGAAATAAGGGTAAATTGGACATTAAGAGGAGTTAGTAAGGGAATTAAGGGAAAAGCCCAATTGTGTGGCCCAAGACTAGGTTTGACAAAAAGGTAATTCTGAAGGGAATTAGGATTCATTTTTGTTAACCGTGAAAAGTATTGTGGCTAGAGCTCTGAGGAGAAGATTGGAGGCTGAAGATTCCCAAAGATAATCGTGAAGGCTTTGATCAACGATTAAGGTATGGGGAGTATAGCCTTTCATGATTTTCTATGTGTTCCTTTCAATGTAATTATGGATGATTTAAGGTTTAAGGGGTTTTGGGTTTGATTGTGGGAAAATATGGAAATTAATAGTTAGGAC